GAAAAAGTCTTTCTCAAAATCATTCTTTGCATTTTTTCTTAAATTAGTATTTAGTTCTATATAAGAGGCTAGCCAATTACTTTCTTTAAAAGTAATAACTCTATGAATTTTCTTCAAAATTAATCCATGATCTAAAACTTGCAAAAGGGCTTTATAATGTATTACATAATTTCTCTTTGGACTGAAATCATTTATTAGTTTATTGGTAGATCCAACTCGTTTATTCTCTGGACAGAAAGGTAAATCATTATGTTTATCATGTAATTCTTCTGGATAATCTAAATCTACTTCTAGTATGCAACCTTTTTCTTTTGAAACAAGATCATCTATCATTTCTAAGGTAAAGTCTTCAACGAATTCGAATTCATCATATGGTAATTTCTGACTCATTGCCCATCCATATAAATTATTTGCATCTAGATATAATAAGTATTTTGATTCCTCTTCGGGATTATAATTTGACATATACTTGTTATTAGCTTTCGAATATCTTAGCATGGTATTACACATACCTCCTCGAATACCTTTTTCAATAAAATTATACATTTCAATATCCTTGATTGTCTGTAGCTTAACTCCAGTTTTCTTTAACATAGCATCCCAAGCTAATCCTGGAGAAGTGTAGTACCAACACGGATCTAACTTATATTCTTTGAGAGACACATTTCTGAAAGTTTCAAAAACATCAGCTAATAGTAGCACATCATTAATCATATAAATTCTAGTGTAGTCTTCTAAATTTTTACAATTTGTTTCCTTCCATACTTTCTGAGCATATTTATAACTCTCTTCACTAATATTTTCACCAGATAGAGCATTGTAGAAGTTTTCAATTGGAGGAAGTTCTTCGTTAGAATACTTTTTGAAGGAATCCATAAAATCATATGGATACACACCTTTGCGTCTTAATAGATTAAACATCTTTTCATTCTTGTAATACTTATTAGTAATCACACATTCTTCATCTTGTAGGTTACTGCTGAGATAGTCCAGACTGGAAGGCATAAAACCAAAACTATCTAAAAATCTTATTTCACATCGTTTAGGATTTTTGTATATATAACTGAAACTAATAAACTTTTCTATATTTGCTGAGATGCTTTTAATTTCAACACCTTTTTTCTTCAATAGTTTGCTTGATTCCTCATCACTAATTATATGATGTGAGTCATAGCCTTTAAGATTATGGAAAAATACTGGAATTAAATTATTTCTACGTTTCAAGAAGTTACATGCTTTACATAGAGGTCCTCTGTATAATCCAGTCCAATGATCGTGATCTCTAACTTTATCCCCATCAAACACATTCTCACACTGAGGACATGAATTACAGTTATTATATTCTTTCCACTCTTCATTGGTTAAATTTTTCATTTTCTCATCACCTTTATTCAATAGTCTTGCACATACATCTAAGATATACTCATTGAACTTCAAGATAGTATTATATCCAACATAGCTCTTCATTTCGTAAATACTCTGAGTGAAAGAATCCACAACAATCACACAGAAAGCAGAGGCCTTATGTTTACCAACATTCTCACTCCAAGATTTGTTAGGAGAATTGTTAACAGAATCAATTTTATAGATAACAGATTCAAAATCAGCATAACAAACATATCTATGTTTTTGTGTTTTCTGAATATTAGAAAATTCAATATAATCATTGGGAGGTTTAATCATTTGTAGTGGAGCATTACTCATACAGTCGCCTATATGGTTTTCAAACTCCTCTGCATTGTAAAAGTTATTATGACATCTGATACAAAACTTTGTGCTATAACTGTCTTTTGTTTTCATCAATCTATCTATATTTTTTATTAAGCAGTAATGTCCTTCTCCAGAGTTATCAGTGATAAGCAAAAGATTTATAACTCTATTTAAATCTACTTTACTGTTTTTAGACACTTTATATGACTCAATACGATTATCATCCCCCACATTGTGAGTAACAATATTAACGGCTAGTTTATTCCTTTTCTCAAACTTATCCAGGTCCTTCACTTGGAATGGAAACTCAAAACCCTTAAAGTCAAGCTTAGAAACATGATCTTTATATTTACTTACTCGTTCAGGATTTTGATCCACTGGATATAAGTGTGCTAGAATACACCACATGAAACATTTTTCATCTTTGTTTTGGACATTGACTACTGCTTTCTTATTTTTTATCCAATCTGGGAGTTCAATATATTTAGATCCTGATAATGGCTTAATCTTAGTTTGAGACATTCTTAAACCAATAATTCTGTTTAATCTAAAACCAGAACCTTTACCTTGATAATGTTCTAATCTATTTACTAAATCTAATTTTAATTTTTCATAAAAGACTTTTCTATCATCCGCCGGATTCACTATTTCGCTAGCTGTTTTTAGATGGACTATAGCCTTATCTTCTGTACCTTCTTTTTTCATTTCACACCGTAATGAGACAGATATTTTCACACTATTTTCATAAATTTCTTTCACAATATCAGGCCCTTTCTTATCTAAAAAGGATTCTATAGTTTTAGAATTTCCAATGTAAAAAGTATCTCTCAACGTATCACCAACTTCTTTGTAATCACTAAAGACAGTTTCATCGAAGGGAAATAGATTCATTATTTGAAGATTTGACTTTTCACTAAGTTCATCTATATCCAGCTGTTTGAGTATTTTACGCATTTCATCCACACTCATATTTCTAACATCAACATTGCTCATCCCAGTTCTGTTTCTTACAAGTTTTCGCAGTTGATCCCTATCCATTTTTTTGTAATCAACTAGTTCCATTTATAGAGCAATAAAAGTATCATTTAAAACCTATAATAAATTTTCAGAAATATTGAATAAATCAACCTAAAATCGATGATATTTCCTGTAATAAATGCATTCTGTAGTTGAGATAAATGACCCTAAACGACGTAATGAAATAGTAAACAACTTTTTGAAAAACCGAAAAGAGCATAAAATCAAGAATTTACAAGAGCGATCAGATTTAGAACATGTAGAAGATTATAGAATTGAAGTATTTAAACCTATTTTAGAATCCAACAAAAAACTACAAGAAGAAATAATTGATGAAAAGAATAAAATAGTAGAAACTCTGAATAACTTCAAATCACCTTCGCAACTTTCTATAGGACCTCCATCCACTTCGACACCAAAGACAAATCGTAAAAGTCTCATTAAGCAACCCTCAGTAGTCTTACCTCCATCTCTACCTAGTTCTTCTCCACCTCAAGTTGTAAGTAATCTAATTGTAAGTTATCTTCAAGATAATTCAGATAGAAGTAATGCTGGATACTCAATCAAGTTCAACAAAGCAGAAAAGAAGTATGCTATTGGTAACAAAGACATTACATTCGATCAAAATATTATCAAAGTTAATAATGAAGAATACACAGCAACTGAAGGGTTGATGGAGTTACTACTCAAAAAGTCTCCTGATCTAAACAAGATTACAACTAAAGATTCTTCAAATTACCAAAAAATATTATTATGCTCCAATGCTCTGTACCAAGGTTTTGATAAAGAATCTAAAAGATACAATTCAGATTCTAGTGATAAATGGAAATTCATAAAGTCTAAATATTTTGTTGCTAAGACTCCAACTACAGCTGGAACATCTTCAACATCAGGAAGTTCTATTTCTTTCATACCATCAAATACCAACTCTCTAATTGACTTATTAAGACTATCTATTGGTTCATATCAGGCTGGTAACAAAGACGAGTATAATAAAATTCATGCTATGTTAGATGAACTAGTCAAACAGAAAGTAATCAAGAAGAAAGACTTGGGAGTAATTTACTTGAACATTGGTATGTAGTTCTTATACTTTCTTATACTACTTTATACTTTCTTATACTACTTTATACTTTCTTATACTACTTTATACATACCTACATATTCTAAAATTTTTTCTAATTAAATGTCACGAAAATTAGTGTTAGCCAGAATGTACATTAGTGACCAAGATAAAACTCCTTTGAGAATCAATAAAAGAAAGTGGGTTAAACAATACAATTTAACAACACAAACTCTATACGACGGATTATGGGCATTGGCAAAAGAAATGGATGTCAGTCGATATATTGACAGGAAGCCTCGAAACGCTGTGGTGGATAACGTACACTTGGAGCGTACCCCAGAGTTACAGTTGTATAAATCCAGTTCCGCAATTAGTAGCATGAGTGAATTGTATGAAAGATCTAGACAAAGTAAGGAAACTGTAGAGACTTTTGAAAAGGATGAACGAGAGAATTGTTCTAAAATTACCTTCTGAAACCAGTGAAATCAAAGATGAGTCAGATTTAAAATTTTTAAAAACTCAAAATGATCTACATTTTTTCTATATAAATGCCAAAGATTCACACATTAACTACAACTAGACAAGACGTGGCGAAAGTATTGAAAAATCAAACTGATGATATTCTTAACCAATTAAATACCGACTCTAAAATTAGTGAGTTTCTTGATGAGTGCTTACAAAAACATAAAAATAGTAAACTTTACAAGGATGCTAATGAAATTCATAAGCAATTAGATTTAATTAACAAGTTTGTATCGTCTGGTTATGGCGAAAGTAATGAACTAATACCAATGATTAAAAGTCTTACCCAAAATATCGCACATCTATTTTCTAAGGAAAGAGTGGCTGTTGAGGTAATAGATCAGTTGAATTCAAAACTAGATAAGCTTGAATGTGAAAATTCTATACTCACCGCCAAAATTGAGCAATTGAAATCTCAAAATGAAGCTTTGAAGAACAAAAGTTCTGAAGTAGACTATGGTGTGATCATGAAAAAAGCGCAAGCGGAATTTGAGAAAAAACAAAAACATGCTCTTAACACTTTGAGTTCCTCTTCAGAAAACGTGAAGGATTCGCTATATAGAAGAATTGTCTTTAATTGAAAAAAATTATTTTTCCATCTCCTTTATAAATAATGTGAATGAATTAGATGGTGGATGAACATTCATTTCACTAAGTTGAGTTTTGTTCTGATCTACCTCCTTGATTTTATCGGATCTATTATCAATTTTTTCATTTTTATTATTGGTTGTTCCATTTCTATTTGCTAGATTCCCCCCTACTAACTCATTACATGAACTTGTCACTGCAAACATATTAACTGCTTGAACGAATCTTCCATCATAATCCCTTTTTCTATTATCATCACCTTGACTTGTTGAATATTTTCTAATAGCCTTGTTAAGAGTAGACTTTGGAACATTGTATTTTGTACACCATCCTCGAGGTCCTTCTTTTACACCTCCTACCTTTTCATATGCCTCGTAGATGTTTCTCAGATATTGATTAGACATTTATCTAACATATTTTTCTGAATTTTTTTTTTCGGCATGTTTTTTTTCTCAGAGTCGAGCCTCCCCGCAGCCTCCCCGCAGCCTCCCCGCAGCCTCCCCGCAGCCTCCCCGCAGCCTCCCCGCAGCCTCCCCGCAGCCTCCCCGCAGCATCATCGCAGCCTCGCCGTGAAAAATACTACTGGAAAAACTAGAAAAAGCAAACCGAAAAAAATTCAGAAAAATATGTTAGATAAATGTCTAATCAATATCTGAGAAACATCTACGAGGCATATGAAAAGGTAGGAGGTGTAAAAGAAGGACCTCGAGGATGGTGTACAAAATACAATGTTCCAAAGTCTACTCTTAACAAGGCTATTAGAAAATATTCAACAAGTCAAGGTGATGATAATAGAAAAAGGGATTATGATGGAAGATTCGTTCAAGCAGTTAATATGTTTGCAGTGACAAGTTCATGTAATGAGTTAGTAGGGGGGAATCTAGCAAATAGAAATGGAACAACCAATAATAAAAATGAAAAAATTGATAATAGATCCGATAAAATCAAGGAGGTAGATCAGAACAAAACTCAACTTAGTGAAATGAATGTTCATCCACCATCTAATTCATTCACATTATTTATAAAGGAGATGGAAAAATAATTTTTTTCAATTAAAGACAATTCTTCTATATAGCGAATCCTTCACGTTTTCTGAAGAGGAACTCAAAGTGTTAAGAGCATGTTTTTGTTTTTTCTCAAATTCCGCTTGCGC